AGCAAGTCCTGACCCCTGGTCCCACAGAAACAGGGATGGGCAAAGGGACATTCTAGAGAAAAACACCTCAGAGAATAAAAGCTCCCCAGAACCAACAGGGCTGTCCCACCCTGCTGTGTCTCTGCAGAGAAACCATGGAGATAACTATGTTTTGATTGTCTATTTTCACACTAGAGCAGAGTTGGACTCTTCCATGAACTGCTCTGTCCTGTCTAGGAGTGTTGTGGAGATAAAATTCCCAGAACTAGACCTGGAAACGTCTCATTTTTAAGTCACACTTTCTGCTGCTTCCCAATTTGATCCAGATTTTGCAGTGGAATTAAGAACTATGGGCAAAATTTGCTCCCACTGTGAGGCAAATGCCACCTTGGTCCCCTTTCCTTGTTGTCTAACTAGGAAAACAACCTGCTGGAACCAAGACATGTTCATTAAGACCTGAATTTTGCCCTCAAGCCCCTCATGAGCAGCAATTCTTTTACCATGCAGTCAGGACACAGCTAACACATTCATAACAGTTTCCAAGCAGCAGCATTTGAAGTACAGAAAACCACAACCAAGGGGCAGATCTGGTCCTGAAGATTTGTTGCTCGCAGACTTGGGAGGAGAAAGATAAATCAGAGTGTTCAGTACCAATATTCTTCACCCCTTGCTGCTGTTTTTTAAATAAAAGGTACTTTTCAGCATGGACTTACAACACCTGGAGTTCAGCTTTAAAAGGTTAAAATTGGCTCCCACCCCTTCTCCCACTGCTAACAACCCACGGAACAGGCTAATGGATTAGCTTTAAAGGCGACTGAGGATTAGGTTCTATAATTAAGACCATTTTTAAATATTATTTTTCTTTAAGAAAAGTAAAATCAGACAACTCTAAAGTTGTGCTCTCCAATGAAATCACCATCATCACCGTGCAGCCTCGAGGGCTGCAGCCCAGGACACCTGCAGTTCCACAGTGATATGAGAAACGACCGTTAGTTGTGTCAGTATCAAAGGCAAGGCAGAGTTCTTTTTTGGTTAAAGCTCCTGCTCTGTCCTGTGCAAGGCTCTGCAAACTGCCACATGCTCCGCACGGTGCTGCCAGCCTGGTTTCCACTCCAGCACCCCACAACAGCAGCTGGGCCTGCCACCCCAGGACACCCTGCCAGGGCCTGACCTGCCAGCACTGCTGGCACTGAGCCTGGCATGGCCCTTTGGTGCCAGGGACACAGAGTGCTGAGCACCAGGAGCACATCCCCCCCAGAGACAGGCCCCAATCCAGCCCAGAGGTGCTGAAGTCTGTAGTGAAAACACCTCCTTGCACAGTATTAATTTTGTAAACAGAGTCAGAAGTTCTTGTACAAAATACTGCAATGACAGTGATTAAGACACACCTGGAGCAGTGTGTTCAGCCTCCTTTTCACAGAAAAAAGTGCCTAGATGCTGCCTGCCATTCCAGGTTCCCTTAAGGCCACAGAGTCCCCGGGCTGGAGATGGACGGGCGGATGCTGCCCTTGGGAGACGGCTTCGACCCAAACCACGACATCTAGGGCAGAAGAGCACAGCACACGTCACACTGGGGCCAAAGAGTGCACACAGACATGTCCCTGTCTGATGGAAAGGGCTGTTCATAAATCACAACACTGCAGGCTCCAGGCTGAGGAGGTAGGAGCAGCTGCACACAGTCCAGTCTGGGGGAACAGCACCATTTCCCACAGGGGAAGGTGACTGAGGTTACACTTACATACACTCCTGTAAAATAGTTACCAACTAGAGCTCTACAGTCATTTGAACACATTAGTAGTACAAGCAAGATGGTGAGGAAATCTCCTCAGCCCCCTGAGGGGATGGTGTGGGGCATGGAGGGAGCTGAGGCAGCTCTCACTCACCCCTGACACTCAGTAACCACCTCACAGCCAGGGACATGCATGTCTCATGCCATGGAAAGGAGACACACATCTTGGTGTCTGAGCCCAATGTCAAGAGGACAAACCAAGGCTTTGTCTCACTGCTGTCAAACACTTGACTGCTCCTGCAAGGAGCTTCCATCTTCCCTCCACAGACCAACCCCACAGGCAGCACTGTGCTGTAACCCCTCTGAGCTCCAGGGAGCTGCTACTTTCTTTCCTGCCATGGACAATCTGACCTGTATGCATGTGACCAGCCAACATTCCAGATACAAATTCCATTCCTTATTGTAGCTAACATTTGGAGAAGACACTTGTCGTGATCCCCCAGCACCTAGTTTTCATTCCATTTGCTGGGAGTCCTGTTAGAGACCACACACAGCCCTTACCTTGTACTCCAGAGTCTCCTTAAGCATGTTCTCCTCCTCTTGTGAAAAATTCAGTAACACAGACACAGCTTTAATGAGGTGGAATGCCTGAAAGAAACCACAGGGTTGTGTTGTTTATGATGGTCTTGAGCTCTGCAATTCACCTTTCCCCTTCCTGTAGTTCCTAACAACTTGTACTGCCAAACACAATGTTCTTAACTGTTCTCACTGTCCTTGGCAGGTAACAGGTGGCAATTTCCAGAGACAGACAGATGTAGGAAGAGAAGGTAAGTGACACCTTTACCTCAGACTCCCGACAGGACATGAACTTCAGTACAACATGCTTCAGGTACTCGAAGTTGATCTCCCTGGAGTCGTTCAAATCCGCGTTGTTGGTGACAGTCACAGAAGCATTAGGCACTTCAGAGTTTGCTTTCTCTCGCAGCTCAGGGACCTCACTGTCAGGCCTTATCTTCTGCAAAGAGACATCAGAGAGGGGCACATTGCAGAGCCTGCTGGTTTGACACGGGGAAAGGATCCAGGTCTGGGATGTCTCACAGAGGGCTATGTGCATGGGTGGGTACAGCCTGGGCATCAACAGCTGCTCATCCCTGATGGGGGCACAGCAGAGAAGGGTCTACACCTCTCCGCAGAGCCCAGGGCAGGAACTGATTGCTGTCAGCACTACATTACCCAAACCTTATGGAACTGGCTCCATGGCAGAAACTATCCCCTGGTGACTCTCCTCTCACTAACCTGCTCTGAGCCTTTCAAACAAGAGCTTTCTCCGAAACAATACACAAGCTCAGAACAAATACGTTACTTTTTTAAAAAGACAGCAGATTTGTTTCTTGGAGATGAAAACTGCTGTCAGAGGGATTCAAGGAGAGCTTTGCTGAGTCAGATACACTCCCATGGCAAAACTCAGCTGAATGGCAGCTGAGTAACAATCAATGGATCGGTTGGCATGACAGTGCATGGACCAGTCAGCAAGTGCTGAAGAGACTGAAGAAAGACAAACCCTTACCAGCTCTTTCTGGAGGGTTTTCTTGAGTTCTGTCATTCTTTGCTGCAGCTGCTTTATCACCTGTAAGCACAGCAAAGGGCAGTTTAACACAGTACTCATTGTCAGGACACATTCTGACCCCAGATATCTGGAAAAACCCAGGACAAATGAGAGTAATGAATGAAACAATCATTAACCAAGGCTGACAGCTCTCAAGAAGTACGTGAATGCCTTGCCCTGCCAGCTGCACACATCGGCAGGCATGTGACAGGACACTTGGGCTTGCATGTGACAGTACAGAACAACTGAACTGAACTCACACAAAAGGGCTCTGCAGGAAAGCTGCAGACAGCTGTAAATAGTGTCATTTTGTGCATATTCTTCCTAAATAGACTAAGATTCACACAGTTCTCACTGCAGTTTTTATCCATGGCTGGTGGACCCTTGTACAATCCAGGGGAAAAACCTTTACTCACACAACTGCACTCTGGATTCAAGCTGGACATGTCTGTCCTTTCAAGGCTGCAGCATGAGCAGCACCAATTACTCAGCTTCCTAATAAACAGGGGAAAGACTACCAGCTGTTTCTGCTGTTTCAGTTAACCTTGTTTTTCTCAGCAATTTGCTGTTCCAGCTCTCTGTTATCCTTCTGAAGCTGAAGAATATCTGCAGCTGCCACCTCCCCGTTCTGTTCCCCCACGTGGGTTTCTGGAGCAGGGAAATGCTCAGTGTCCAGGGCCCTTGTCGACTCCTCCAGTTCTAGAACCTAGAAACAGTGAATTGGAGAGAGATCACAATGTTTGCAGCCCACAAACACTCCCCAGGGAGAAAACCAGATTTGTTTTTGGTGGTTGGTCTTGGGGGTGGTGGATGCTTTTGAAAGCAGAGAGCACTAGTGGCAATCTAGCTGGCTACACCTGTCTCTGGCCTGGTTGTTACTGCTGTGTCTGTCTCACTGTCTCAGGATGGTTTCCTCAAGGAGTCAAATAAAACTAGGGGTTGTCTTTCCTAAGACAGATCTGACAGGAACAGCCTTCTTCAGGATAACAGAACAACCACCAACGTTCTATGCTGCTGGTGCTCCAGGTCATGAGCAAGAGACCAGAGCAAACAGCCCCCAGCATGTTCCTGAGGCAGGACAGGCCTGGGGAGCCCAGGAAAACAGGCATGTGTGCAGGAGGAGTCAGGCAGAGCAGCTGTGGCACTGCACTCACGTTTCTCTCGTGCTCTCTGGCCAACAGGCACTCCTGCACCTGTGACTTCAGCTGGGCCATCTCCTGCCTCGTCGCCTCCTCCCGCTCAGCCGTGCGGCTCCGGCTCATCTCAGCCTCAGACTGCAGCTGCTGCAGCTGCAGCAGGACAGCCTCATGCCCTGCAGGGGAGACACTGCTCAGCACCACTGCCCACACCACCAGAGGCACAAGCTTTTCATCTGCAGCATCTGCTTCGGGTTTTGTGCAGAATGACAATAGTTACAGTGAGTACAGCAAGGTTTGTTGCTTCACAGTATGTCAACACAACAACTAGAGACTGTACTAAAGCTGTCTGGGATACAGGAGACTCATTTGGTCTAACCTTGACTGAGCTGGTTCAGTTCTTCCTTCTGTTTTAGCAGCAGATCACTTTTTTCATCGATCACCTGCTCTTTCTCCTTTATTAGGGAATTCAGGTGTGAGACCTTCAAAGCAGACAAACAAACGAACAGAAGCCATTAAAGACCTAAACCAGGCAGAGGACGTTGGAAGATCTCAGCACACCTCAGGCTAAAGGGGTCTCAAACAGTTCTGAGCCTGCTGAGGCAGCCACTGCTGCCCTGCACGCTGTGGATGTGATTCCAGCCAATGTTCCCAACTGTTAGGGTAAGGAAGCCCAGCCCTAGTCTGCCCTGTGAGAGGTGAGCAGCTCCCAGACATTTCAGACCACCAGGATTAACCAACCTGCTGCTGCAGCTCCTCTCTCTGTTTCCTGGTTTCCTCCAAGGCTTTGGCGATTTCCACATTGACAGTCTCTCTGCTGCTCAACTCATTCTGCAGCCGGAAGGAACAGAGAGGTTACGCAGGACAACTAAACAGTCAGTCTCTCACTTTTAAACCCAAATCTCTCAGGACTAGATTCATGGGTATTCTGACACACCATTTCCAAACGAGTTTTGTTTACTGACTGCTGCTACCTACACATGCAAGAGCAACACAGAACTGACGTGAGAGCCCTAACAAATCCAATTGCCTAAAAGACCTTCCAGGTTGAAACCCTTATTACAAAGCAGTTCCTTGCTACAACTGATTTTAATTCCAACTGTGCATCCAAGAGGAGCTACAGAAAACTTCCAACAATCTGAGTAAGTCAAAACTGGAAGAGCCTCATACTGACCCACTGTCCCTCCCCTGTCCAGCCCTCACCTTCAGCCTGTCCAGTTCAGCCTTTTGCTCTTTTAAAGAGCTCTCATACTCTTCTCTGCTTCCACTAAGATACTCGTTTTCCCTTTCCAGCTGGCTCTGTAAAATAAAGATTGTTTAAACACTCAGAACAGTTATTCTGATGCTTTGTGTAAACAACTGAACATAGCAAACACTTTGTTCATATTTAGTTCCTCCAAGTGTGAGATGATCTACTACAATGCCAGAAGTGCTGAACAGGAACATTCAGACCACAAACAAGCTCCACAGGCTGAGTTAAAATCACCCTGAGGACTCCCATGGCCCACCAGGCAGTTTCTGTACTTACAATCCTGTGCTGAGTTGCTGTTTTGTCGAATTCCCAAGCTTTTTCAAGAGCAGCAACCTGAGACTCCAACCAAGTGACTTTCTGATCATACTGATGTTTCTCACTCAAAATCTGTTGCTGCAGTTGACTTCTTTCCTCCTCCAGACCAGTTTGCTTAGGAGAGATAAAGAGTTCCATGTTCCTAAAATGGCACTTTGACACTCTGACAAGACCAGACACCATCCCACAGGACACACTCAATCTGAGAAACACTACTCCCTTGGCAGCAGTGTCATGCCCTCACAGACAGACAGAGGCTCAGGAGAAACAGCAAGAAAACACTTGAGTAACAAGACAGAGAAGTGAGAGCCTCTGGGTATCACAGAATCATAAAACTTAAGGGTTGGAATGGACCTTACAGATCACCCAGTCCCAACCCCTGCCCTGGGCAGGGACACATCACACCACACAAGGATGCTCAAGGTTCATCAAGCCTGGGCTTGAACACTGCCAGGGTTGGGGCAACCACCACGTCCCTGGGCAACCTCTGCCAGTGTCTCACCACCCTCACAGTAAAATACTTTTTTCTAATATCTGACCTAAACTTCCCCTCCTTCAGTTCGAACCCATTACCCCTTGTTCTCTCATTGCAGTTCCTACTGCTCAGGACTGATGTGCTCCTGGTCAGTGACACATGCAGGATACTCACCACTTTCTGCAGCTTCAGATCCTGCTCAGCAGCTGCTTCTTTGCTACTTTCCAAGGCTTCTGTTGCACTCTGTAGTTTCTGTTCCAGTTCCCTATTCTGAAATAGACACCACACACTGAATTCCTTACCCATTGGCACCTCTGTTCCTAGCAAAAACGTGTGTGGCAAAGGATGCTCTGGGAGGGGAAGGTAAGCACTAAGCCCCAGACCACAAAGGTCAGAGTTGATGCCTGCTTGAATCTCCTGCTTTTAAACCTCTTCACACAGCACTACCCCCAGCAATGCCTGCACCCGAGCTCTGCTTCTTAGGACAGGGAGGAGCTGCACAAACCTCTAACTTAGAATCATAGAATTTAAGTGCTGGAATGGACCTTACAGATCATCTAGTCCCAACCCTCCCTGCAGCGAGGGAGGACGGACAGGACACAAAGAGGATGACAACAGGGGGAAATCAGTGAAATTAGACACTACCTACCTGTGTCTCCAACCTGCTCACGGTCTCGGTGTGATGTGCTCTGTCTGTCAGCACCTGCTGCCTGCTCTCATCCAGCCTCTGCTCAAGAGCTGCTTTCTGCAGACCACATTGAGGTGAAAAACAGGGGGAAGGACGGACAAAGAGCTAAGCTGGGGGTTTTTTAATGATTTTTTTTATTTTGTTAATAGGTGAAACCAAAGTGGAATAGAAATTCTGAGGGCAACACATTTCCTCCTTATGGTGGTTACTTTCAGAAATGTTTTAGTAGCTCTACATGGACTTTACACTGGCCCAAGTTTACTAAACCAAGTTCTTTTACCACAGCAACACTAAGGTGATGTGACTGCACTAGGCTTGGCCAAGGAGAAGCAAACATTCCCTGGCCTCCCCAAGGCCCACCTGGGGAAACTGCTCCAGGCTGACCCTGAGCAAGTGCCTCAGTGCTTGAGAGACCAAGATGCAGCAAGAGAAAGGGCATTAACCACAGCCGAGTTTCTTGTTTCAGCTGTTTGTTAGCACTCCTGAGGCTCAGGTTTTCACAACACAACATCCTGTTTGCACACCTATGTGCAAACAGTTCCCCTCCCTGTCCTGCTGCCTTGCCGAAGAACAAGGAAAAGAGTTCACTGCTCTTGTGAGGATTAGCCAAAGAACTCCCTAATTGTTCCACCTCCTGGGGGGATGTTCACAAGCTGCTCTTTTCCTTCCCAGCAGTCAGTCAGAGGCATTGCCCAAACAGACAATGCAGACATCTGTGCAGGAGCTACACAAACACTCAGTGCAGCCACCCACACTCTCTGCCCAGCACAGACACTGTGCCAAAACACACTGAAGGGACAAATGTGCCTCAATGACATCACCAGCTATTCTTTCCATGGCTGGGAAGCGATGTGTGCCCTAAGAAAAGAAAGAAATCTCACTAAGATTGCCCTTCTAAGCAGCCTGTAACTGTATAATTACCTCTTTGAGCAGCTCCTGCACATGTTCATCTCCTGAGAGGTTACTTTCTAGCTTCTTTTCCAGGGAAGACACTTTTTCCTGCAGCTGTTCAGTAAGTTTATTTCTCTCAGAAGATTCAAAGGTCACCTGTGAGATGAGAGATCACGGAATCTTTTTTGTAGTGAAGCCATGAGACAGGGAAGTCCTATTTCAAAAGACAACAGGATCCTAAAACACTTTGCAGACACCAAATTTCCAGCCACACTAAGGTGTGCAGTACCCAAATGTACACCTTTACACCACCAACAGCAGATGCAGCTGAAAGCACTTCACCTTTTGCTTGTGTTGTTCATATTCCACCTTCAGAGACTCGTGCTCTGCCTGCAGCACTTCCAGTCTCTTCTCACAACCAGAACCAGCAACTCGAGCCTAAAAATGTTGAGAAATCACTTACTTTGAAATCCCAGTTGCCAACAGCACATAGCTGACATCTACTCTAACTTCTGCAGACATGGAGCTCTTTGGATCAAGGCTCACTTGGCTCAAACTTACATTTTGCAAGTCTACAGAAAGCTGCTGGATGACAGTTTGTAGCTCCTGTTCTCTGAGCTCCAGGGCAGTGATCTTGTTTTCTGCATTTGTCTCAGCTGTCATTAGTTCATCTCTTCACAGAAAGAGAGTAAGAAAACGTGACACGCTGTTCCAGGAAACACTCTTTAGCAGATAACTCTGCTGCTTATGAAAATGGATTAGGCAACAAGATTTTCTTGCCCTAAAACCAACCACTGAAACCAACCACTGCTTGATTACATATTTCCCAGAAAAAGTCACAGCTAAACATTCAAACTATGAAAAACCAAAAGAAATCATAACGAATTTACAAAACCCTAAACAAGTATTGGCTTGAAAAGAAATATAAACTTGGCATTTGCATCCCCATGGGCACAGCAGAGGCAACGACTCGGCCAGCTCACTACAGACACGAACTGGGCATGCAGCGACAACACGGGGGAGCTCATCCCCTACTGGTCTGGAACAGCAGCTCTCACCTCTGTGCCTGCAGCCCCAGGAAACGCTGCTGCAGCTCCTGCAGGTCCCTCCTGAGGCCCGAGGCCTCACTCCTGGCGCCCTGCAGCTCCTGCTCCATCCTGCTCAGACACTCCTCCTTCTTCAAGAGCTGAATAGCAGAGGGTTATCTTTGGCAACGCAGTGACCAGGAACACTGGGAAACCTCCTCACTGAAACAGGCCCTTCTTGCTGAGCTATGGGCTGAGTTAAATGAGGTAATAAACTTGTGACATCGCAGGCAGCACCTGCTGTTAGGACTTTGCCACTGCCCAGGACTATGCACAAACATAAGGGCTAAAACAGAGAGGATGCAGAGCTGCCACTGACTTGGTGTCTAACAAAAATTTCAAGAAAGGAAAGAAAGTTTCCAATGTTCTTACCATGTGTTTAACCTTGGCCATTTCCTGCTGCTGAAAACCCTCCAGTTCATCGATTTCATCACGTTTCTGGAAGAGGCTTAGACTTTGCTCCCTCATTTCTTGTAGCTGTGTTTGGAGCACCTTTTTTTCCTGGTAAATGAACACCAACAAAAGGAATTCAAGAATGTCAGTAGGCTCATGTCCAAGGGAGTTTAGTTCAACTCTCTGGGAAAGGAATCCTGTCCCACAGCCTTAAGGCTCCTGATGGAGCTACACACAGAAGCAGAAACCCTCCCACACTCAGGTCACAGTGCAAACTGCCCAACTTCAAAGAGAAAACTGTATTCACTACAACATCACTAGTGATCACCTCAGCTGCACTCTGAAAAATGGACAAAGATAGCAGCATGTTTAATGCTTTGTAATTAGAGGCAGTTTAAAACAGACAGAGATAACCAGCTGGAACAGCTACAGGAGGGAAATCCTGTATTTAAAACATCCCTATCAAATACTTTCCTTTACTTCATCAAACAGATGACGCACTGCAAGACCTCAGATGAGGTCACTACCCCCTGCATCCCAGCAAGCTCTGGAACAAAGGAAACTGCTGTTCCACCTTCCAGAAGGACAACTTTGCCATCACAACCACCATTCTCTACCTCCCCACTGAAAAGCAGTTCCAGCAATACCTCCCAAAGCACTGGGGCTGGTGACAAAATGTTTGGCCTCTCCCACTGAACAAAGAGCAAATTAAAAGGGCTGAACAGAGCTGAGTTCCACTAGAGCTGGAATTGTGCAGGTTGGTGTTCACATCACACACACAGACACTAAATCTCCCCAAAAACCTCAAAGGTTAATTACCTTTTCAACTTCACCCAGTTTTTCCATCCACTCCTGAACAAGAAAGGAGAAAAAAAGAAATCAAAATCAATCTGTAGACTCCCAAGGACAGTAATTATGGTTGGAAAGAGGAATCTCTGCTGTTAGCAGATCCTAAGCTGTGACAATAGTTAAAAGAGCAATCAGCAAAGGAACAGTAACAGCCACTGCTTCAATCAATAGAAGCTGAAGAGTCATCTGTGCTACCTGGACACATAAGCTTTATGGAAGTAAAAGTGGCAGCAGGTCTACTGCAACTGAGTCTTAGCAAAGCACAAGCTTAACCTTTCATCAGAAGTGTTTGTGGGCCCTTGTTAAACCAGTCAGAGGAGTTCGGGCCTGGAACTGGCTGCTGGCACTCACACAGTGCTGAACTCCTGCTTTAATCCATGGCAATGCCTGCCCAAAGCATCAAGGCCACGAGAGGCAGCTCGAGCTCTTACCTGGTCCTTCTTCTCCAGGGCCACAGCCATTCCCTCAGCCATCTTGGCCCGACTGGCCTGGTGGGCTTCGTTCTGCTCCTGAAACTTCCTCATGGAGGCTATCAACACAGAGCCACCACACACAATCAAAACTCATGCTTCAGACCTGCTGCTCTAAGCTATTTATAACTTTAAAGAGCTTCTTGTGCAACTAATTAGCCCCATCCAGACTCCAGCCCTGACGCTGCATGCTCATCACCTCACACTCCGGCCCGAAGCCAAAGCCAACAGCAGGCAGGAACTCTGCTCCTCACTGGATCAGAGCAAAGTTGGGGCTTTCCAAAACGTCTCTTGGGCATGTTAGCCCCAAACTTGGCAACAGGAGTCTACCAACAACTCTGTTCAGCACAGCACTGCTGCTCTTTACACTGCAAATCACATAAAAACTCATGTTCCAATCCTTCACAGAGAGGTGCCCAGCTGAGAGGAAATACTGACACACGTGTACACCAAACCCCATTCCTTCCAACCACAGCCACTTCCAGCTTCAAAAAAAGGTAAACAAAAACAAAAGTACATACAATCCTGATGCTTTTCTAATGCATTTTCAAGCTTCTCTTTCATCTTCTGCAAGTTTCGGATCTGATCAGCATAATCTTGTGTGAGGAGGGAGAAGTACAGACCAGGAATGGATAGACAGTGGGGAAGGACAAAGGGTAAAACAAAGGGGAAAAAAGAAAAAGAAAAAAGGATGAGTGGCAAATGGCAATG